TCAACAACTCTAAGTCTTAAAAACAATAAAATTCTTTTCTTAGAACAATTACTTATAGCTAATAATTACAATCTTCATTTTTAGAAAAATATATATCTTAGAATTCTCAAACCCCTATGAGGTTCTATTCCAAAATGGTTTAAAATACTTTCAAACCAAATATCTGATCAACTTATTTTGTACATATGGTCTAATCTTTAACTTTAATCTATTAACCTATTTCTAAATACATTAAATCTTATTATATCCTAATTTGTTACCTTAAAAATTACATAATTACTTTACATTTTATCTTTAGATTGGCATATTGGCAAAATAACCAATACATTTAACTTTCAAGTACTTTTTCAAAAATATCAAATTATGAATTCAATAACCAACAAAATCTACATTTTCCTACACCAACAATGCTTTAAATAAATTACAAACAAAACATTAATCTTAAATACAAAATACAAAAAAGAAAACAAAACTTCAAACTCAATATAAACAACCAAGAAATTAAAGCACTTCAAAACATTTATATAGACCTATATAAACTAGTTTCAAAATCTCTACCATCTCTTTTACTACTCTCTTTAAAAATCCTTTTAATACAAAACACAATACCTAACTCTACATATCAAAACCAATTCATAAACTTTCACAAAAAATTACTATCTTTTAAACTAACTAATATATATTTTTATACAGATACTTCTATACTTAATTCACAAATATATAACACCTTTACTGACATAGTCTGGATTCTGGAAAATAATATATAAATTAAATTTAATACCTCTATAAATCTTGTACCAAACTTAATACGAACTGAACTAGTAGCACTTACTGTATATCTTTATTTTTTATCTTACCTCTCAATTACTCAATTTATATTCATTTAAATAGCTTATCTACTATACAAACTTTTATCAATTCAATTTCTTATAACTACAATTCTCAAACTAAATAAAATAACTAGGATGTTATTCATATTCTAAACTATCTGACCAAACTTAAAAATATAAATTATATTATGCACAAAGTTAAATTATATTTAAACAACATTTTATATAATATTGCTGATGCCTTAGCTAAATAAGATGCTAAAAAACAGAACTAAAATATAATCTTGACCATCTTTACTTATCTATCTTCTTTATTTAGAAAGAAATCCCAATTATATACAAATTTCATAAATTTTGCAAAAAACTCTTCTTTATTCAAATATATATAATTTTTTTCAGTATTAAGATGACTTCTTTGGTCCGAGCTTTTTATTAATACTTATAGCAGATATATGTTTATATAGATGTATCTATAATGAATTATTAGATGAGTGTACAGCTGGCTACACATGTAACTTTTCTATATTACCTATTTAAGGAATCCAACTGAGGGTTCTCTACCAGTTGTTATACCTAACACCCCTGCTTAGGTGTTCCATTTAAACCCTCTGATCTAACCTTAGTATTAATTTTACCAGGTCACAGACCTGGATATATTCACTATTAACTATAGGACTATAATCCTTAGACTATTTTTATCCTTGAGGTAAACCTATCAGAGCAAGATGTATTCTTTTTTACCACTAATCTGGTTTGACACTATGGCTGAGACCAACACTTGCAGTCAGGGTTACCTCTTAAACTGCTGTTACCCTTATAAAGTTCATCCAAACCCTGGTACCCATCTTTCTAACTTCTTCTTCATCATTCTCTACTAGTCACAACTCAGAACTAACCAACTCCCCAGACTCCCAATTCAGATGGCCTGATATGGTATACTTATATATTCTTTTCTTTCAGTGATTCTGGCAGCCTGGTTGGTCATATGCTCCTCTACACATCTTTGTCATCTGGTTTATTTGACAGTTTCTATGAAGGTGTTTTATGGGCTTCCATCAGTTCAATGGTACCATTAAAAGTTTGTGCTACCTCTTTACTTAGGATTTCCAAGTGAGTTTCTGTCTCTTTGGTTTCTTAGCCTTCTACACTCGGTGGTCTTATCATAGGTTTACCTGAAGCCTTGTACAACATCAGTTTTACATTCCTTTATGTACATGTACTGTATAACATTACACTTCACATAGATGCCCCAAGCTCTCAATGTCAGGTGGGACCTGACTTGATGTATCTAAGATTACAGATGCCCAAAACCCAACTGATTGGTAAGAGACAGTTACCAAAATACAGGTATAATTTCCCAAATTTGTCATCTGTGGGAATTGAACCTTAGACCTGCCACTTGAGGGTTGACAACCTATTCACTTCACTAGGTTGCCACACTCCTTTATTCAAATATTTAACAAACTTCTTTAACTTAAACTACTATAAAATCTTTCTACTATAAACATTCTACTATTTACTGAAATTATTAACTTTCAAAATTCTAATTTGAAACTCTATTCAATTAGAAACAAAATTCTCTTAATAACTTGTTAACAATGTCAAATTTAAATATTCACTATTCTCTACTCTACTTAACTTCAAACTGCTCCTATTGTAACTAATATGAAAATGCTGAACATTTACTTTATTACTCATTTTACACTTATAATTTACAAAATATTCTTATCAATGAATCTACTAATATTTTAAGCTTTTTAAACTTTTCAAAAACTTCATTACACACTATAATTCAAATTTTCAATTTACAAAATCTCTCTTTAAACTCTATTATATATAATACAATATTTCTATTTATTCAAAATACAATAACATTTGACCAATATAAATAACTTTAACTAATTTTAAAAATACTAACTAACAACTTTCTTATCTCCTTATCTAATTCTTTATTCAACTAATTTAATTTAACTATCTGGCAAACTCATAATGCCAAACAATATAAATAAGAATTAGAACAAGAAATTATTGTTCTTATTAAAAGGAAAAACAATGTTCAATTATCTATTATACAATCTTTTAACTTTAATAACAATATATTTATATTTAATACTGATATTGATCAATTTATTTTTAAAACTTTTTCTTAAAATTTTATTATATAACCTATTTTTACAATTTTAAAGGTTCCTTTTACCCTTCTCTGTAGTTAATGATTATGATAATTGATTTAACTAAAACAGAAAATTAAAGGTTAATATCACACTAGATGTTGTTATAAATATAGTAACAATAGTGTAGTTTAGAAATATTTTATTTATATATTTATATCCAATTGATATATCTATGTATTACTATTTTTCTTACTTAATATTATATAATAATAAAATAAAATAAAAAAAATGTATAATTCAAGGAGTTTGGGTATTAGTAACATTAGTAGCTCACCCACAGATTTTTCCGGCACGTGATTTTTGGCCAATTAGATCGAAAGATCAGGTGTAACGTAAAATCAAAACAATCGAATTAAGCGAAAGACTTTAAAATAGTAAGCATAATATTTAGAAAGGTCATAGCTTACATTAAAATTTCAGAGGAATTTTTTTATTAGAACGCAGAAGGCAGTTTTATAGGTAAAATTTCGAGTTAATAGCGATTTTTTAAAAAGAACCATCAGTATAGAATGAAATAGATGATAGGCGTAATTTTCACGTTACACCTGATCCTTCAATCTAATTGGTGAGCTACGGGGGTTGGTATTGGTCGGGAAATCATGTGACTGCACCCTCGATTATTGGTTACGCCAATGCTTTTCAATAGTTTGTGTAACTGTTATCGGACAAAATACTCCAAAAAAGCAAATCGGCGGATATCGATATATGAGGTGTTATGTATTAAAATGGTCTTTCTTTGAAAATTTATTTTATGAATAGATATCTGTTCAAAAAAAAAAAAAGTTTGTCATCAGAGCTAATTGCATAATAAAAAGATCCACAAAATGAACTTGAAGTAAAAAATTTTATATGTATCGCTACTTATTTTAAATTCAAATATAACGCCAGTGTTTAAAATTGGCTTGCACAAGATGCAGATGTGCAAGAATTTTTTTTTGGATTTTTTGGATTTTTTAAAAATTCATTAAGTGTGCATATATATATATATCGATATGTGCTGTATACTATATATATATAGTACGCAATATATACAGTATTCGTTAATTTATTTAAACCAATTTCATAAATTTTGGGTCTCTTACTATATGGGCGATACTACTCTATAATTAATTGTACAGTTAATTAACAAAATATATTTATTATTACATATTGTAATAAAATAGAATTAAAATAGAATTTGAAGATCCATAAGCCCCTAAACCTATCTATACTTGTTACAGTATTAAAATTCTAATTAAAAAAAATTCCCAAAGTTTGAAATACTAATTTGAATATTTTATATACGTAGTATATACTGTATATAGATCTTATATCTAGGACAAGTAATCAATTCGTAAGCTAACATAAATATTAAAAAAATAAATAAATAAATAGGCTGGAGCAAAAATCATAACGATTAGTTTGTCGATTATTTTTTAAAAAATCGGTTAAAAATTGATTATTAACTAATCGATCATTTGACTAAATTATAATTAATATTTTTTCAATTATATATCGATTATAAGCAATAAAAAAAAAATCTCAATCACATCTAGTCTGCGATGGTGATGATAATCGATTGATTTAAATCGATTACAATCAAGTCTCTGAATTTGTCAGGATTTTGGCCCGTAACAATTAAATTGGGTACATTGCAATGACTTCTTTTTCCTTTTTGTTCCTCCAACTCGATAATTACAATAATTACCAGTTTATAAAATATACAGTTTCATAGCATTGATTGAAATAATGAGTTTGAGTCTATAGCCGTAGGCCAATAGTTTATTTGGGATCTATTTGGAACACCATTATGATTCATTGTCAACGGGATTTAGCTAATCACGTTAATTAATCGACAATATAGAAGTTGATTCCAGTCCTTATGGCTACTATAGATACTGATAAGTATGACACCGAAATTTTTCTTCATTATACATAGATTCAACCATTAATATTATTAATTTTAAATCAGAAATTTGATGATATAATTTTTACGAGTATGCAAATACAATAAGTCTTAAAACTCTACATAAACAGTTCCTTTATTTTTATGATTGTCATCAATATCACAAAAGAATTGTGGAGTACCTATTTTTTTAATTTTTCTTGACTCTTTCTTACAATGCTCAGTAATAACTTGAGTAAAATATTTTTGATCACCTACAACTTTAACATCAGAAAATCCCCATGCTATATAATACAGACTTCGACCACATATTGAAAGTATATCTTCTAAATCTTGAGCATGAATAGTCCAATATCTTATTTCAAGATGTCGAATACTTGATGGTAATTTTGATGCAAACCATCGAATTTGATCGTTAGAAACACTATAATATATTGGAAAAAATCTTATTGGTTGAATAGGTTGAATTATCAATTTCTCTAATTTTTGACATGATTCTAATATAGGTAAAAGGTCATGTATTTGTTCAGCTCTTTGCATATTTAGTTCTAGGCTAGTAATTAATGTACAATAAGTTGAAATTGATTCGATAATACCAAAATAATCATCTAATTTAAGATTAGTATAAAGATATTGAAGATTATCACTACAATTCTTTATAATATTTTTTACTTGATTAGATGGAATATCTTCAGGATTCAAATCAGTTAATGAATAATTAAAATATTTTAGTTCTAATTTTTCAATGTAAGGAAAGTGAGCATTTTCTAATGATTCTAAAAGATTCGATGTCAAATAATCGCATTGTATTATTGATAGAGTATTTAAATGATGACAACAAGCTAATCCTTCAAAAGAATCACAAAGTTCAAATGAACATTGAAATAATTCAATTTCTCTTATACTGTGTGCTTGACTACCAATAGCTTCGATAATACATGATATATCATGTAGATTTAGTTCCCATAAAAGTAACTTACGAAGACCTCTTTGAGATTGAATTAAAGTTGCCAAAGAATCGCAAGTTGGAGCAGCGAAAGATCTTATCTTCAGGTAAGTAAGATTTTGACAAACTCCTGATAAGGAGAATAAAAGATCCAGAACGATGCATTCAGGAATAGTATAATTTGAACCAACGCCATGATATTCCAAAGTTGTTAATCGTCGAAAACATGATGGATCGTTCATAGAATTATGAAGCATACAACATTTTGTCAATATATTATTAAAAATTATTGGGAACCTTCTGACATCAAAGCAAATATAATCGAGTGAATTGCAATGTTTAAAAATTAATTCTATGATTGCTTCAATCACCATGATTTTTTTTGGATCATGATTATTTAATTCATTTTGAGTAAAGTATTGGACATTAAAATTGTCCAAATCGGTAGGAATCTTTTTAGAATTATTATTAAAATTTGTGGTAGTTGTCCAATCAAAAATTTCATCATACAAATCTTCAAAGTCCAATTCTCTCAAGAAAGTGGGATAAAAGTATAAAGGAGATGAGAAAAGTTGGAAGGATTCTAAAGAAAGTTGACACCTTTTAGATTTTGAAAGGCAGGATAAATAAGTTCGAATAATGAAGCCACCGTTTTTTGAATTAGATGATAATGAGTTATATTTGATCCTGCTGAATGGTTTTTTCCATAGGATCGGTATAACGTTATTACACCAATCTCTATTCACGAAAAGGCAAGAATATAATGTTTTGCAATCATGAATGCAATTAAAAATATTATAAAGACATTCTAAGGGCAAATGTGATGCCATTTTTTTTCTTTTCCTTTCTTTTTCTTCTCTTTTTTATTTTTTTAAGAAAAATTCAATAGAATTTGAGAGCTTAAATCTAAGAAAATAAGGTTTTTAATACAGTAATATCGATATTATCAAAAGTTTACGTAATCATTATATAATTAAATATTCTCACATTACTCATATTACATAATTATAAAGGGTCCATGTGGTTCACTTCGATGGCGATCATTTCACCGACCGACGCTTACCTACATCACCCACGGTGATAAGTTAACATATTATTAGTTTTATATGTATACTGTACTAAGGAGTTAATCCAATCAATCAATCAAAATCTGTAGTTTGCGGGAACACAAATTCTGCTTGTGATTCCCTTCAAATTATTTATAAATTGTCGCGTTCTGTGATGTCGGTCAAATGATTAGTCGGTGAAATGACTGTCGGTGAACCCTTAGCTCGGATCCATGGACATGAAAGACGTATCAGTATGATAAATCTTTTATATGGTCATAAGTTATCATTTTTGAATCTATTTTATTTATTGAAGCATTTCTAATGAATAATGCAATAGATATTCATCGGATCATCCGATTTCCTCCATTGTATTGCACAAACGTATATCGACTAATTTTCATTGGTTTTACATTTAATATCGGAACAGCTTCTTTTAGAAAATAATTTAATATTCTTTAATTTGTAATGCCTAAAAAATTGATTAATAATTCTAATTTATGTATAAAAAAATCATTAATTTTTTTGCCTACAGTATTTACTATAAAAACATTTGATTATAAAGATACAGTCATTACTTACATATATTTTATGCACACTTACGTACATGTGTACTGTACAGGATTATTAAGCATTAGTGTTAGTGTTTCCGAGGTTAACGTTCAGAATTGAATCACTAAATATCAAACAAATTTTTTATAACCTGACCCGTAAACAATACACAATTAGTATGGTATATAATAAAATTCATTTATTCTTTGAGAATATTTTAATGTGACTAATTGAAGTGAGGATTAATTGTTTGAGAAAATTTTTCTAATCCTTCAAAAACAGGTTTTCTTTTCCAATGTTAAATGAAAAATGATCTTTCGAAGTTTCGAAAATAAGTACATATTTAACGAGTCTGGACAAATTATAATAAAGTTTAATGTGGCGTGGACTTGGAAGAGCATATTTCTTCATATCTAAAATAAATAGTTGAATAATATAATTGCTAATTGCATTTGTTGTTAACAAGTTTTTAAATATAACAAATATAAATAAAATTAAATATTTTACTTGTAAAATAGATGAATAATAAATTTTTTTGTTTGTACGTATTTTATTATAAAATTATTTATCTTATAATATAGTTAACTTTTAAAAAAATTAACAAGTTGTTTTGGTAGAATTTGTTTGATATAAAATGAATTTAGATTATAATTTTTAGACATTTAGTATATAAATTAGTCAATACTGTAATATCTAGTATATAATTTGAATTTAAATATATATAGTAATTAAACACATCAACTTGTAGCTTAAGTAAAGTTTAGTCAAGTTTTAATTATTATATATTATTTTAATAAAATTACAATTTTTTTTAATAATTATTTGAAGGGAAATTCTATTTTGACCCGGGTCAAAATAACCCCTCTTAAAATTTAGGGTTAGTGCGGGCCGTTAATGTCGGACGGGTTTTTATATTAAAATACCCCTGATCAGTATCAACATAATTTTGGCCGCACTAACCCTAAATTATAGGGGAGGTTATTTTGACCCGGGTCAAAATAGAATTTCCCTTATTTGAATCAACTTTTTCAAAAAACTGAATTATAAAAAAATAATCTAGTTAATAACGTTATAAAACTTTTTTTTTTTTTGGTGTTAAGGTAACCTTTTTGGTCTTTTGATTTTTATTAATTATTTATTGGTATTATGATTCAATGAACCACTTCAGGAGAGCATACAATTGGTTACACATGTAATATTTCTATATTACCTATTTAAGGAGTCCACTTGAAGGTTCCTTATCAATTACCATACCTAACATCTCTACTTGGATGTTCTACTTTAAACCTTCTAAACCTGTAATCTGTATTAACTCATTGGGTCATACCCAGATATCTAGATAATCATCTCAATCTTAGAATTAATTTATCCTTGAGATAAACCTCTCAGAGTCTTTTGTACCTATTTTTATAGTTGATCTAGGTATTGTTATGGTAGAACTAATACTTGTAATCAAAGCTTAATTATTAAATCATTATGTCTTTATAGAGTTCACTTAGACCTTAGCATTTATTTTATAACATAACCTTAGTATTTTAGTATGCTTCTGAATTTTATCAAACTTTCAATCCAGATGGCCTGTATAGAAATATGATCAGTTCATTAGTATATTAGGTTAGCTCAATATTTTTTTTCTCTAGTTTGTTCTGGTAGTTTGATTAGTAGTATCTTCAAGACTTCTAATCCAAAGGTTTTTGCTCATCTGGTTACTAAGACCTGGATATCTGTTTCTTTGAACTAGCCTTTACAGTAGTACCATTAAAGATCCAACTATTTCTCTATTTAGGTCTTCTCAAATAGATTTCTTATTATTTAATTTTAACAGATTTACATGATTACAAAGATTTATCTAATGTTTGCATTATTTGATTTACCAGTTTGTATCCTTCTATGTAACTTCAATATTGCACAGATGCCTTATAACCTGTCAGTTATGCTGGTGTGATTGTCATTATAGATATTCTAATCCAATTATTAGTAACAGTTGCCATAATATGAATATTATATAGATAATTATCTAAATTTTTGGTATCAATGAGATTTGAATACCAAATTTACTATTTGGAGGATTGACAACCTGATTACTTTACTAGCTCACCACACCTTATAAAATTTCTTTAAATATTGTATATATTAAATATTAGTTTATATATTTAAAAAATGATAAAATAAAGCTATAGTAATTTTGTAATAACAAATAAAGAATTTTAGAAACTATTAAAACAATAGTTAACAAGTAATTTAAAAAACTAAAAGTTTTTATCAAATCTTAAAATCTTTGTTAAATACTATATATTAGTTTAATATAATTGTAAAATTTTTCATTATTTCATATTAATTCAACTTGATATCAATCTCTTAACTCTTCTATTATAAATAAAAAACTTTCTTAAACATTCTCTTAGCTTCTTAACAATAAAGCCTATGACCCTACAAGCATTAGTTATAAAATGCTCAAACATATCAGCTCTAAATGCATTTCTGTTATTACTAGTCTCTTTAATTACTGTCTTCTTGAAAACAGAATTTCTAAGTGATAGAAACATAGCAGAATTTACCCTATTTTTAAACATAACTCCTTTAATAGTGATCTTAATCTTACTTAACCCATTAGCCTTGTTGAACATATTCATAAACTATATATTAAAATTCTTACAAATAGACTAAGCATTGTATTTTTTTCTAATCCTATTCTTTCACCTTTTAATTATGTTGCACTTCCTAACAATAACACTTTAATTCCTATTCATATCTTCAATAATCTCATTGAAGATGTTACTTGTAATTATAAGAACATTTGGCTATTTTTATAAAATTAAGTAAAGCATATGATTCTGTTAACTTTACTCTTTTTAAATATTTACTTTCTCATTTAACACTTCCTTCATCTATTATCAATATTCTCTCTGATCTTTTGACTGATCACTACAACCAAGTTATTACTAATCTTGATCATATTCCCATATACCTAGTTTACAATGACATCGACCAAGATAAAACTATTACTTCTTTATTATAATGCATATATTATGATCCACTTATCTCATATATATATACACAAATATCTGGTTATATTTTACAATCCTCTTGGACTACTAATCTTAAACTCTGAACATTCAACTCATTACAAAAACAATGCTCTATTTTGATATACTATGGCTAACATTCAAGTTAATCTCTCAAAATCTATTCTGGTTACCAATAATTCTCTATCTTACTACATTCCTATTTCTTATAATAATTATTTTCTTTTACTTCACTCTTCAAAACAACTCTTTAAATTTTTAGGTTGTTGGTTTACTTTGAACAATAGACAATCTAAACAAACAAAACTGCTTATTGCTGAATCTTCTTAACTTATTCAAATTGCTAAAACCAAATGTATTACTGACTCACATGTCCATTATATTATTAATACAGTTATCATTTCTATTCTTGAATATCATCTTCAAAACATTGTAGTTAGTCAGCCTATCTGCAATAAAATTTTTATTCAGCATATCAGCCTTATTAAATTTAAAACTAAACTTTGCTATACAATATCTTCTAACACTCTTTTATATCTCTAAATCTACAACATTAAACATATCTGAGACATTTAACTACAACTTCATATTCCTAACCTTCTTAAATGACTTAATAATCCTGATCTATTAGGTACATTAACTTACATTCAAATTCAACAATTACAAAACAACCTTTGGTCTTCTACCAACATCTTTTTATATTTTAATCCAATTATTGATAGTCTCAACTGTTTAATTATAAACTTTAAA